CAGGCAGGCAGGCAGGCAGGCAGGCAGACAATCTTTATTACAGCCACTGACCAATAAATTAAACAGCTGATTTATTTTTTTAAAAAAAGAACAAAGTGCAGGAAGCCATGACATAGGAAAGAAAGCATAAACATTATATAGAAATAACAATAAAAATGCCTTAAAGTCTCTAAGACATCAACAGGAGTGTATATGACATTTACCACGGGACAGTAAGTATAGAGAGCAGGGTATTAAAAATAGAACATAAGTGATAAAAACAAATTATGAAATTAATAAAATACTTTAAGAATAAAATACTAAATTTCTACCTATTGAATATTAAGACTACTGTGTGAATATATAGACCTGAATTTGTGTGTATGTAAGTGTGTATAAGTAAAATCATATATTGATAGGTGAAAAATAAGATATGGCAGGGGATAAAACCTAGATGCAATGTAAGAAACTTAGAACAAAATAAAATTGTACATGAATAAAATCAGAAAATTAAGAAAATAGTTTCCTGCATAGGGCATGTCAGCTGAGAGAAATTTTGAGATTCTCCTAGTGATGTCAGGGTTCTGGCATGACAACAAGGAACAAACAAGATTGTCCTAAAGGCAAGAGGGACTTCTACTGGCAGATGAAAATGGAGTGTAAGTTACTGTAAAAACAGCATTGAAGGAGCATGTGGGCTGAAGTCTCAGGTTCCTCCAGAGCACAGAGCCATGTTATAGTGGCCTAATATGCAGTGAAAATATACCTGAAGAGTTTTGTCAAATGTTGATCACAGAGAGAGTCATATTTATTGTATCAAATACCAACCTCCCACCTTGATTTTGAATATCAGAGATTCAATAAGGCTGTTTTCATGCATTTTATTTACCTGTGCTTCACTTAGTCCCAATTCTAGCATTTCCAAAGACTTCCGAATCATATTTGATTTTTCTTCTACCAGATTGGTCTCATCATCTTTCTTCAAACATTTTAGTGTTTCAAGTAAACTCTGTAAGATGGAATTGTGCTCATTCTTCAAGGCTTCTAGTCCTTGAATCACTTGTTTAGTCTTGGAAATAATCTCATCCTGAGTGAGCTTCTCCAATTTGTCTTCTTTTAGATACACCATTGTGGACATGTTGTCATACATTCTAGGAAAAACAGTTCCAGAGATACTATTTAAATACCATCTAAAAATATTATTTCAATATTAACATTTTAGCTCAAATACCCATAATGCAATTTATTTAACATTATGCCCAATAATGTATATTCTCTGTCACAATGGTGTATAAAGTTCACATTCCCTTAAGCTCAGAGCAGAGATAGTGGTTACATTATGTCATGCCCCTATGTAAGGACCTTTACATGACTTTCACCCCCTCTTGAGGAGGGGGAAATGTCTTTATTTTCATACAATATACATCCTGTGTGATATTTGTATATGCCCATACTATGGAACCTACATGTAGACTATATATACCATTCTGAGAATTTCTAGATATCTCTTCCTATAATCACTGAGCATCAATACCTGGATAGCTCCTAAAACTAATGTAATGTATATGATCATCTGAACATCCACAAGTTCAGTCCCTAGGAGAGAGTTTCAACTCTACAGAATAACATCAGGCTACCTATATCCGACAAGCCCCAAACAGAATTAAGCCAATCATGTAGTACCTGTCATGAGCCACAATTCGAAGTCTGACTCTGAATCTGATTCTGACAATGTTGCTTCAGCTGAGCCTGTGGTACGTCAGGCTCAGGAATCATTAAGCCATGATGCATCTGAGGCTGATCAGCCACAGGCATCTCCTGATCAGCTGGAGCAGTCAGATGATGAGGCATGACCTCCAAACCCTAGATTCAGATGCACGCAGAGGCAAGCAGAGCAGCGTCAATTAAGGAGACTCCTCGCAAGGCAAAGGATGAGGCCTGAATAACTGCAGTCAGCTGCCAGCAGAGATTTATGTAGCGTGCTTTGCCTTCACTTTCTGTTCGAAAACAACCGTTTGAAAACCTAGCTCGTGTCTTGTGTATATCCTATTCTTGAATTCCTGACTTCTGGACTGGCTGACTATCCAATTTGGCTTCGTGACTTTTGGAATTGTAACTAGACTACTCTTTTGCTTCTCGGACTACAAGCAGTACTTTACTTGCTAAGTCTGTGTTTGCAACTTGTCTGCTGTTATCTGCTTCTGCTCCTTGGCAACTGTGTCTTCTACCTTGAAACCGAACAGTACCTATTCCTGGTGGTAGATATATTCTCTGGAAAGCTCACAAACATGAAAACATAGTATCAAAAGGCATTTTATGAGTCTATTAATATGTAGACAATACAGGTAGTCCTCGCTTAATGACCACAATTGGGACCGGAATTTCCATCGCTAAGCAATGCGGTTGTAAAGTGAGATGTCATGTGACTTAAGAATAGTGGGTCATTAAGCAGAGGGAGTCCCAGGCACGGAGCGTGGGGGTGCCTCAGGGGGATGGGGGAGGCCCTGGGAGGGCTGGCATAGGCTGTGCACGAGTTGGGGGGGGTGCTGCAGTGTGGTCCAGAGCAACAGCCGCCTCTGGAAGCCTCAGCTACCCCTGCCCGGCCCAGCAGCATGATGCAAAGCTGCTGCACCCTGGGAAGCTTCAGCTGCCCCAACCTGACCCAGCAGGACTTACGACTGCAGGGCCACTGCAACTCTCCCCACCTGCTTATCTCACCCCCACATCTATGCCATTTTGGCTGCCCTGCACAGTGGCACTCAGCGGCAGAGGCAGGGCTGGGTCTGAAGAAGAGGCCCAGGGCCTTCAGTAGTTTCAGCCAGCTGCCACCACCCCCATGCCACCCCAGCACCATTGCGCAAAGCCCCAGTTGCCCCCATCACCCTATGCCCCACAGGCTCTGCCCTGCCCAGCTGACCTTTGCCATTTTCTCCCATTGCTGACGAGGCAAGCCCAGCTTGCCCTACTATATGCGAGGCAGCTGCTGGCCATGCCAGGCCTTCTTCCCAAGGTCACTTGCACTGTTCTCCAAGCCACTTGTGTCATTCCTTTCCAAATCATGCACCCCATTCTTTCTCCAAATTGCATACCCCATTCTCACAATCCTTTGAAAACCTTCTGGTCTTCCCCAGATCTTGTGAGAATGGGCGCACTATTCTCAGGAAGGCGGGTAGACCAGTCCCACCTTCGGCCACTGGGTAAACTGGGCCAGCCTTAGCCCTCTGGAGCTAAAGCTTTTTAGCTGAAGTTTTTTAGCCTTAGCCCTCTGGAACTAAAGCTTTGCAAAGCTTGGTGCACTAAAAACTTTAGCTCTGGAGGACTAAGGCTGGCCTGGTCTACCAGGTGGTCGAAGGGAGGGGAAGGAGGGGAAAAAAAGGAGAGGAAGGGTAAAATGGGGTGCTTTTTCCCCACAGTGTGAAACAAAAGCCCAGCCCTGCCCCGCCCAGGAGCTTTTTGCAAAGGGGCTTTCTGGAACAAGAAGATGGCGGTCAGCTGGGGCGGCAGAGCACAGGGTGGCAGGGGGCCAAGAGGACAGAGATGGGGGGAGATAGGCAGGTCAGGGGAGTTGCAGCACCCCTGAGGTCATAAGTGTGGATGGGCTGCCAAGTGCCCGAATTTTGATCATGTGACCGCGGGGGTGCTGCAACTGCTGTAACTTTGGGCATGGGTAATTTCAAATGGTCACTGAATAAATGGTTGTTAAGCAAGGACTACCTGTACTGAATAGGTTTCCAGTTGACATGTAAGCACAAGATAAATGAACATACTAATATAAAGTGCTCAACAAATCATTTCATAGGTAGTGATGCAGCTCTGAAAACTAACAGGTAGTCCTCGACTTATAACAGCAATTCAGGCTGAAATTTCTGTCGCTAAGTGATGCGGTTGTAAAGTGCAACTGCATTGCATAGCAACAGCAAAACCCTGCAGTCCTATTGCCATCGTTAACTGAATCCCACAGTTGTTAGGCGAGGCAACTTCCTGCTGGCGTCCCACAACCAAAATCAGTGGGGAAGCTGGCAGGAAGTTGTAAGTCCCAGGCCAGCAGGCAGGCAAGGAGAGAGTCAAGGAGGGTGTGCAAGAGGCACCACATGAGTCAGGGAGGGTGCAAGGGGATGCACGAGAGGTGCAGCACAAGTCAAGGAGGGTCCGTGAGGGTGCAAGGGGGTGGGTCGAGAGGCACAGTCCAGGTCAGGGAAGGTGTGCAAGAGACACTATGTGGGTACAAGGGGGTGTGCAAGAGGTGCCATGCAGGTTGGGGAGAGCTGGAAAGGGTGTGCGAGGGTTGCCAAGTGCTCAGATTGCAATTACGTGATTGCGGGGGTGCTAGGATGGCTGGAACTCCAAGGACAGGTCATAACCACCATTTATTCAGTGCCGTTGTAATTTCAAGTGATTGGTCGTAGGTCGAGGACTACCTGTAACTAAAATCCAAGCTGATCCTCCCTTGCCCCTTAAAATATTCAGATTCCAAAAAAGTATAGAGGGACTATTAGCTATTCGTTCATAACCAAGAGCACTACAATTTGTTACTAAGAGTAAATGAGGTTTGTAGTTTAAACACAAGCCTTTGAAGGCAACATTTATGAAAATCCCTCTTATGTCCCAAGTAACAAGGAAAGACAAATGATTGATCATCAAAAATATAACAAAATAAGCATCAACTCTAGCATCAATTCTACATGCTGAATATAATAGAGATGTGTATGAGATGGGGTAGTATGACACACAATGCTAAAATATAACTTCATTACTGAAAAAATGTCAAATTTTATTTCAATAGAAAAATGATTAACTCAGCTAAATTTTCATGTCTAAGGCTGAGTATTGCTCAATTTCAGAGGTCACCGTAAGTCGTCTTCTTGACAGCAAGGAGTCTCAATTACCTTTATTGTTGGCCACAAACATACATACTGTCTGAAATTTTTTCTTTCCTTCTCTCTACAATTCAGTGGAGAAACGTGTAGAAGAAAACAGTATCAGCAGCAATTGTTGTACTTAGCTCTATTCATTATACTTATATTTTCTCAAGAGTTCAGGGCATAGAGAAATCTCGATCCTGTCATAGCCATGCTTTATTGCTCCTATTTCTTGTCCAATTCTTTCCTTTTCACATAGAGTGGTTCACATCATACAGAATGAAAAAACTATCATTGCTATATGGCTAACATACTCTAAATCCCAGGTAACCTCACACATTTTCATATAACTATGACTTTTTAAAATTGGAATTTTAGACAGTCATTTGAAATTCCCAGCACAAACCTTCATAATCTTCATAACTGGTATAAATTTTGGAACTACACGTTATCAATTCAATATTGAGAAATACAATATACTTCATGTTCTTATAGTATTTATTTCCTAGGTAGGCAACCTTTTGCATCTCTGAAAAGATTTTGTCCTCCTGGGTTTTCAAAGTTCTAGGTCTTAATCTATTTTAATTTTGTTGCTATTTTTATTATAATTTACTTGTTTTGTTCATATGTATCTATTTTATTGTTAGATTTGACTGTAAACCCAGGAAATAAATTGGCTGAATGGCATATTCAAATATACAAAATAAATTAGTAAGCAAAACCCAACAATACTTCCTGCTCATGCCAAATTACCAACACTGGGTGAAGCTTGTCATTCCCAAATCTGACCAAGTGAGAGTACCAGTAGATGAATCCAGCATGAACTCCCCCCATTCCCAGAATCCATTATGACTGAGGCAGTTTATAAATATTTTAAAATACTGAAACGTCAACATACCTACTCCTTCAATCAGTTTGCCTTGGCAAGTCTTAAAAATGCCTAAAACAGAAGTTTCCAAGCATTCATTGTTCCCAGTGCCCCTAGTGATTCCCAAACTGTACAGTTCCATTTATTAAGCTGTAAAATATCTCAAAGTGCCCTATGTTTTTGCCGCAATGCCCCAGGGTGCCGCAGCATGCTGTTTGGGAACTACAGACTTAAACACAACTTCTATGTTTGATAATTCTCCACATTTTTCAGGACAAGAACTCCCCTCATAACTTCCTTTCTAGCTTCCTACTTTTAACTACTGACTTTTTTTGGTGTCACTACAGCAGCTATTAACCAACTAGATACCATCCAGATAATTCAGCCATACTGATTGGGATGAACAGGCTGAAATCCAAAGTAC